CAAGGAGCTCTGAATGGGGTGCAGGCCATTGTGAGAGCGCCCTTCGCCCCCAATTCGGGGGTGGGCGGTAATTTTCAAATATGTACCAAAGACTTTGCCCAAACACTGGGCTTTTTGTTCAGCACGTTCTGAAGAGAGTTCCCAGAATCACAAGCTTCTGCCCTGGCTTATTAAAGCCCATGCTTTTTGACCGTGTTCGAAGCCAAGGGGTGAAAAACTGTTCCGCTCACGATGCACTTTTCTGTGGAAAGAAATTGTATTTACTTTTTGTAAGAAGTTTAATAGTCCAAAGAGTAATTTTTATAGTGTCTGTGGGAAATTATTCTGTTTCAAAACTATTAAGATGAGATTTTGATAATTTTTTTTCATAATTTAGATTATTATTCTCTGAATTGTCTTAAGACTTCACGTTTTTTGTATCAAAAGAATAAACATTTGCGATTTCAGACCATTAAATACTGAAAATATTGTCATTTTAGAATTTTTTGTGATTATTATTCTATTTTGAAAGTTTAAAAAAATATTTTGATTGAAATTTTGTATGATGTTTATGAATATATTTATTAAAATTCCGCATACTTAATTGTATTACAGCGTAAATGCCTATTTAATATTTTTTAAATCTTTAAATTCACTGAATAAAAATTTAAAATTGTTTTCACTGTGAAAGACACAATATTTACATCGCGAACAAATCTAAACTCTTGTAATCTTCTCATGTTTATCATCACCTCGTGGAAAGAAGAGCAAGAAGAAGTGGTGCGAAGTGCGCTTCTTGTGATTCACACGACCATTTGCAGATGATCTGCGACTCCTTCGGACGCTTCTCAAATTGGAAATCCACCCACGCGCCCATAAACACTCGCCCAGCTAATCTGTGGCGCGGAAGAAAGTTCAGTAGCCAAATTGGCCAGATAATGCCGTGGTCGAATTTCTATTTGCACTAAATTTGCGCAGGTGATGTCGGAAGGTGGGCCGCGCTAAATTAGACCCTGTGCAGCGCCGAGATTTGCGATACGGCGGCCGCAGAGTATCTGCGGTTGTGGCATATGAGATCGCTGGGCATTTGAAGCGGGCGCGCGGGCAAAATTTCGATCATAATTCACGTCCACTTTGTTGCCGTGGGTGTTAAATTTTGATTAATAATCTATCGCTGTATAAATCTCCCGGTATAAATATGCCACAAACTGAAGTTATTTTATTATTTATATGCATTTCCAATGGATTTGTAATGTATTTATGAATTGTGCGGCGGCGGCCATGGCAAATTGTTGTGGTCGTGGTGTTAGTTGCAAATTCGATTAAAATAAAATGCATAAATGCATCCAATGTGAATTTCAATACATCATCCGCGGCCGCGCCGTGCTCAGGCCGAAAAAAGCCCTCAAACTCCGCGCACTCATGAAAAATTCCTCATCTCCAGTTGCACCACAATTTTCCCGGCACTTTTCCGCGCGGGAACCGCGGTGAAGGCGAGTTCTTGGCGCGGCAACATTAGTGGAAAATACCAGCGAGAGGTCTTTTCACTATGGCGGAATTATTATGCATTAAAATGTAAATTTAATAAATGGCGAAAAGACTTTATCAAGTTTCAACTAAAATTCCCGAGCATCACCGCGCGAACGATGTGGGGTGGGCTTTGAATTTGATATTAAGGTGCATTACCGGTGCTTTTTAGACGCCCCATTGAGAGCTTTTTCGTCATTGAAGAGCTTATAAGTGATGCGAGGCGCTTATCTTTGGTGGGATTTAATTTAGCCGGAGCGCTTCGCAAGCTCTTGGCTCGTCTGGGTGAGGAAGAAGGAGAGCCTCGAGCGTCTTCTTTGCAACTTTTTCACCTAGGGAAGTTGTTTCAGGACAGGTGAGAGGTATTGATGCATAATATTGGCAAAATTAACACGCGAAATGAGTTGAATATTTATAATGCTGTTCGTCAGTTTGACTTTAAGAATGCCAATTGCCTTAAACATGACGCATTGTTGAGCGAAATACTGGGGAAACGGGTGAATTTGGGCGGAGCGTCGCAGTGGGCGGAGCGAAAGAAACTCTCCTGCAGCCTTCAAACCACTTTGGCTGCTGAGAAGAGGCTGCAATTGTCCGGTCAGGCACTGTTACGGGTAGTTTTGGCAACGATGAAATGAGAGTTGAAGCACGTGAGAGAAGGAGAGGCAAAAAAATCCATAGGAAACTCGCGTTTTTGTATGGGCAGAGAAATACCCTGAGAGCAGCTCCTTCCTCTCTGTGTGTCTGCGTTTTTGCAGGCGCGCTATATATCTCGGTCCCAGAGAAACAAGATCGCCCCGAGGCGGTAGAAACTGACGGCGCCGCGGGCTATTGAAGGGCCCCTCCATCCGCATTCGTGTTTCGCATTTTATGTCGAGTGCGGAGGAACGAAAAATCCCACCGGCCCGAGGCGGTTTTCATTTATTTCTCCGGACCCCGTGCTGGAGATGCCATTACTTTTCGCAGCACAAAAGCCCAGCAGCGAGGAGGCGCGTCTCAGGGAATTCAGTTTTAATTTGTCCAAAGGTATTTTGTCATTCCTCTTTCATGTAATTTCATTACACATGACTCCCATTCTGTGTAAGTTTCTTGCAAAATTTAATATCATAGCCCTCTATCCGACCCATTAACGCACGCATGGTGACTTCTTATGAATTTGCTCAGCACACATCGCTCAACTTTTGTCATATAGACTCTTCTCCTTACGCGACTTCGCCCAGGATTTCGCTTTAAACTTCTTCCACTCACTATTGCGCGAAGCTCATATTTTCATTAAGTGCTGAATCAACTTCGGGACAAAGTTCTCACGCCGCGACTTTCCCATCATTCACCACACTTTCTGGCTACTGGTCTTCCTGCTCGCGAGTCCACTTTATATCGCCTTATTTACGACTCACGCTCAAGAGAACCTTATCAGGCGCGCCCATAAATCCCCAGACAGACTCCCACTCGGCACAGACCAAATCGGCGCGCTCCCACAGTCAATTCGCACCCAGTGAAGAAATGTGTGAAGTCTCCACGAGGAGACTCGCCTGCTAAGGCAGCAAAGCGATGATTTTATAGGGAAATGTTGGAAAAGAGCTAAAAGTAGACACGATTTGTCCCGGTTCCGGTGCGTTTCTGTTGAATAAGTTCAGTGAGTTTGAATGAAAATGCGAAGAAATTGACAATTGTGGGCGGAGCTTATGAGTGGGCGGGGCTTAAGAAACTCTTTCCCAATCTCTAAAATTCTGATATGTTCAGAAAGTTAAGAAAGGAGGAAATTGGTGTATTTAAATTAGTTATAATGACTCAAAGTGTGTGGATTCTTCTTCCTTTCTGTTGTTTTTCTTTGCGCACAAGATCCTGGCCAGCGCTTGAGAGTTCTTCCGCCAGCAAATCGCCCTCATCCATTTCTCGAGTGAAATCAATTATTTCCTCCACCGCAAGTGTGATAAAGATCCACTCTTATATATTGTGTGTGAGAGCGCAAATTTAATTTAACTCTATTTGATGTCTCTGGAGGACACCAAAACTCATCAGTTTATGTAAATAGAGGCGCACATTGAGCCGAAAAACATATTCTTTTGCCATATTTAATTGCCTCCATGCTTTATTTACAATTTAAATTCCTGTTGTGCTTTCGCGTTCGTCATCTTGAGTGGGCCTCTCGGGCCGCAATTTAATTACAGCCCTCCTTTTCGGCGGGGAGGGAGTTCAGCATCCCAGGTGAGATATCGCGGGATAAATTATTTGTTTTATTTCGACAGCGTGTCATTGTCTCTGTGGCGGAATCGTGGAGAGCCGCGAGCAATGCAGATATGCATCAATGGGAATAATTTTTGGAGCAAATTATTGTGTCGCGCTCTGTTGGGCCTCCTTTTAAATAAAATACCAATTTGCCCAATGCCTTCGGGAGGCTTTATTTCAGTTTGGATCGCATTAATATCGATTCAGTCGCTGAAATGGTAATTAAACAATCCTTCTTCTCCCTTGTTTGCACTCAACCAGCAGTCAATTGGCGCATATTCGACAGATCTTCAACGAGCTCATCACGATTCGCAGCGATATTTTGCGCGGAAAGAGTCAAAAATTATTTTAATTATATCACGGAGAGCCAAAAACAGGGATGAAGATATGGCGCTGTTGGAAAAATGCCCCGGAGTTGTTGATTATGAAAAATTTAAATCACATCCCTGGAGTGATATTATTAATTTAAATGTACATAGAGGAAAATTTTCCCAAACATACGAATATTTAGCCAAGTTTTGTTGATAAAATGAAAAGATTCAAATGGAAATTTCATGTGTAATAGAGAGAAAATCAGAGGAAAATGTGTGGAAGTTGGCAAATATTTAAAGAGGCAAATGTATGTTTGAAAGCTCTTCCCTGCGAGAGCTTTCATTATATCACATCCCCATCAGAGGAATGTGTGTGTGTGTGTGTTTTACTTGCTGAAGATATTTTTCACTGAATTTTTTGCAGACTTAATTGAATTTACACCTGCATTTGCTTTTATCGGCGACGATCAGCAGAGTGTGGATGTAAGAAATCATGTGTTTTTTCACTCAAACATCCAATTTTCCTCTCTCGCTCCCGCGGAGGAAACTGTGAATGAAAGTATACGGGTGAAATTGATTTTTCTCTCCCGCCATCTGGCAAAATCAACTTCGAAAGTGACAAAACAACCGTCAGAGTGGGTGGGAGAGCTTCCCCGATCACCCACTTTTGAGGAAACATCTCACACAACATTGACGAGCTCTCCGGAGCCGCACAACGTGATAAGATATTACTCAATTACACAGTTCTACAGATAATTCATACAGGCCGTGGGCAATTTTTAATGAGATGGTTGCTTTATGGTGTGCTGCCGCACTCTCTTTCTTGCCTCCTCAGCCGTCAGCTCCCATTCTTTTCCGCACCATCGCATGGCGGATTGCAAAACTCCTTGTTAGCATTTCGCGCAAAGCCTCCCCGTTGGGCGCCGCAATTGACCGCCAACTCTCTCCCAATTGCAGGCGAAAGTGCGACATGGATCGCAGCGATCGCGACAGGGACTTGAAGCCGCTGGAGCCGCGGGATCTGTCCGCCGCCGCCGGCCGCCTCTTCCCCAGCGCCCAGATCAAGATCAGCACCTCGCCCACCACGTCGCCCACCATGTCCAACTCCTCCTCGCCCACGCCGCCCTCGGGCCAGGGCCCCATCTCGCCGGCCGTGAGCTCCGGCGGCGGCAGCTACCTGCATGCCAACCACAAGCCCATCTCGGGCATCCCCTGCGTCGCCGCGGCGTCCAGATACACGGCGCCGGTGCACATCGACGTGGGCGGAACGATCTACACGAGCTCCCTGGAGACGCTCACCAAGTGAGTAATAGGCCTGAATGACCCGAAACTAACCCATTTCTAACCAAAAACTAACTCTTCATGTTCCTTCCTCTTTAGATACCCGGACTCGAGGTTGGCCAAGCTCTTCAACGGCAGCATCCCAATTGTCCTGGACTCCTTGAAGCAGCACTACTTCATCGACCGCGACGGCATGATGTTCAGACATATCCTCAACTTCATGAGGAATTCCAAACTCCTGATAGCTGAAGACTTCTCCGATCTCGATCTGCTTCTGGAGGAGGCCAGGTTTTTCGACATTGGCCGTAAGGAATCCCTAGACTCTTCATCCTGATCTCTGATGGTTAACTTTCCCTTCCGTTGCAGCCATGATCCGACAATTGGAGCAGATGAAGAAGGAGCGCCTTCGCAACGGAACTGCCAGCACTTCGTCCCCTCCGCCGCCGACCAGCAGCCGGATCAAGGGTCGAACCAGCCTCGCGGACGTGTTCGAGATCGTGGCGCTGCACATTTCCCCGGATCTGGGCGAGAGGATCATGCTGTCGGCCGAGCGGTCGCTGCTGGACGAGATCTTCCCGGAGGCGCAGCAGGCCGTGCTGGACGCGCGCAGCGGCGTGTCGTGGAACCAGCTGGACGGGCGGCAGGTGATCCGCTTCCCGCTGAACGGCTACTGCAAGCTGAACTCCGTTCAGGTGCTGACGCGCCTCCTGAACGCCGGCTTCACGGTGGAGGCCAGCACGGGCGGCGGCGTGGAGGGACAGCAGTTCAGCGAGTATCTGCTCGTCCGCAAGATCTCTATGTGATAATGGTGAGCCGCAAGACCACTCAGCCCTCGACTCACGCCCAGTCTCACGAGCAGGAGAGCGTCTAAACGAATATTCATGTTTCCTAACTAGTAGTACTGAAGAGGTGGCGACAGTGAGTGGACAGACTGTAGGACATTTCCCTTAAGATAAGAGACCACGAGAATGACAGAACTTTAGTCAACATTGGCGATAGATTGCTTCACCAGTGGCTAGGATAAGACACACTTGACACTGTCTAGGATTTATGAGTTTATTTAACTTAGTTGTAACCGAACATTAAGTGAAATCCAGGAAGAATTCGTATTAAGATTTCGTGTATGCACTCTATATAGAAGGTATTCTCTTAATTTTAAGAGTTGTTAGGACATTTCTTATGTTTTTGAAAATATGGCATTTTATAAATAAAAAAAGACATTTCTGTAGTTCTGTAACATCACAAAGATAATTCTTTATTAAATAAAGATTCTATTCCTCTTGCAAATGACTTCCTAATTATTCTAACAATGCGATTTAGAGAATTTTATATTGAAATTTTTTCTTTTGTCAACGAATGAAAAACAATCAAAAGTAATTTACAGAGAAAAATCAGTCACAAATATGAAAATTAAATCCAATACTAAAACAGTTTGTAGGCTTAACAATAGTTCTTAAACTCCAAAACATGGAAATATTATTATCCTTCTTAATTTTTAAATTTAATCTTGATTTTTATTTGCTCATATTTCATTATTCAATAGCAAGAATATTGATTTTGATATCATTTTCAGTAGCTTCTGTTGAGCCGAAGATGCTTCTAAGAAAAAAAATGTGAGTTTTGAACAGAATTCAGCCGATACAGACACTGAAGGGTTAAATGCTGTCAGTCTCTTAACATCGCTCGGCTCTCTTAACTTAGCCGAGACACACACTCGCGGCTGAGAGTTTGTGGGCCGGAGTTGGCGGTGATTTCCCTCCCTTCGACTCACTCCGCTGAACTATCGACGGGAGGCGGAAGTGTCGTATTTGCGGAGGCGAGCGGGAGACTTTCCCGGGCACTTCGTGCGTCTTCAGCCATCATTCACCCTTTCGCAGGGCCGCCCGCCCCCCGGCGAAGGGAGGCTTTTATGATAACGACAGCGAACTGATGCTCGCATTCAAAATAGTCTCCCGACTCCAGTGGCTGGCTCACAATCCTCTATAGCTAGATTGATGTCTGGTCATTTATATTGTTGAGCCGCACACATGCCGACGCCGCTCCAGCCCCGCGGCGACCCGGGGGCCAGGCGCACGGCGAACACGTGCTCTAGCGAGTGGCGGAAAAACAATTCGGCCGCATTATGCATTCAGACGGGGTGGCGTTTGCACACAAAAATCAATACTCCAGAGCGGTCCCACTTCGTGACATCTCCGGCCAAGACTAAACGGTTCTGGGCCGCAGAGTGGCCACGGCGGGGGCGGAATGGGGGCAATCAGTCACTGGCAAAGGGGCGCGATACACCATTAGGACAGATATGAATTCGAGATATGGGAATTGAGCTTATCCAAATGAGCTTTCAACAGGCTTTCAGCAAATTGTGTGTAAGTTCCGTATATTTATTAGCAGGACGAATCCTTGCAATTTCCAGTGATAGAGAAATGCTGGCTGAAATCTTCTTAATGCTCTGCAAATCTTATATGGAATCCAAACAGCGAGGAAAATCATTTCCGCCGCTGTGCAGCTGTTTGACGGTGGAAAATGAATGGCTGGGGCGAAAAGAAGACTCAATCAATTTACATGAGGTGCAGGGCAAAACTCCCCGTACAATTGCAAAGCAATAATCTTGTTAATACATCAAAGGCGAGCAGCAGCAGCATCTTTGGTGAAATGCATTAGATGAAAGCTTCCGTTGGAGAAAGAAATTCCCGGAGAATAAACTTGAAAGTTTCGCAAGAGTGCAAAGAGGAAATTAAAAGCTCGTCCTTTTTCTGCCCTGCAAGTGAGCATCGCGTGCAGGAATGGGGCGATGGCTGAGGGCTGAAATGTGTGAGATTCTCACATGCACGCCCGAAAGGGAAGGCGGGAGATCAGGAGTGCAGCAAATAGCTGGGGCTTTCGAGTGCAAAAGTGGTACATAAGGAAGAAAAAAGCGTCGCGCAAACACTCTATAAATAATAAATAATAAATCTCCTGCCATGCAGAGTGCACCAATTGAAGTGCACTTGCCCGCGAAAGTGGTGAAATGTTGTCTATGGATTTATAGAATGTTCTATATAAATTCTAATATAAATAAAGTTTTGTCTTGTAATGCTTATTCAGTATAATGTTACAGTTTAATATTACACTGTGTGGCCAACTTAAGATCGCAGCTTGGTCTTAAGACAAGACAAGTGACGTCGCGAAATGTCGGTCTTTTCCCCTCTGGATGTAAGAATCTGTTCTATTTTTCTTTCTGTGAATGGATTTCGACTGAATCAATAACCATGGATTCCCTTTAAATTCAACTATAACTCGAACTGTTTGCATTCTATTCGCTCCACTCTGTTGTTTGCAGTCGAAGAGCGATTTAACACTCGACTTGTGTACGTTTTCGAGTGTTGAACCGAGAAGCTTCTCTCGACTCCTGAGCGTGGGATCCAGACTCGGAGTCTTCCACATGACAGTTCATCTCAATCCGCCTGGCATGAATCTCATTTATTTTTTATCCACTCCGCAAAAATTGAGGCTCTCAGGGCGGGGACGCACTTTTAATTAAATATTAAGGGACTTTTTGATTGATAAAAAGCTCAAAGCTCACGGGAATATTTCGCCCCACTTTTCCACGCTCCTGATCACGGTGTTCCAGGGAAACTTTTTCTGCTGCTTCAGTGCCTTTTTTGCGGTTAAATAAATGATCCACGCTCGGAGTTGGCTCTCTGTCCATTCTCTGCGGTCGCCCCCTCTCGCCCCGAAAGCGCCCCGAAATCTGAAGAGGGTCATTCATTCATAATGGCCCGTGGCACAACTATTGAATTCTATAAAACACCATTAATCATCTCGTTTCCCCGAAGAGGCCGATGCCGCACTGCAATAATTGATATTGTATTTAAGCAGGGGAACATGCAGTGGCGAGGAAGGCTCCCATGGGGGACAGCCCGCTCCCTGGAGTAATAAATGCCGTAATGAAATTCATGTTATTCCCCAATTCCCACAAGGAAATTTAATAAATGTGTGCGCCTCGGACTTTTTGCACTGCTTCCATAATTATGATCATTTCACTCGCTGGGCTTGTTGATTAAACAGAAACTTCCGAATTTGTGGTGTTCAGAGAGCAAAATATATGCGCTCCACATTGTGATTTAATTTCCAATGTTCGACAAAGAGCGCCAAAGCGCGAGCAAACACCCGGCGAAGCGTGTTGTCTTACAAAAGGTGATAAGGTGATGCACCTTATCATGTGACTGTGGCGCGCACTTGCTTCATAAAAGTCGCTATTGGGGAATTTCGTGAAATTCCCAAAGAATTCCTGCTGGAGTTTACAAAGAAATATCTCTTGTTCGCTCAAAGCAATTCACTCTCTGTGTGTGCCAGATAAGCGCAGTGCGAGAGCAACCCTTTGAAGTCCGTCGCGCGAGGGCAAAAAAGACGGGGAAAATGCCGGGGAGAAGTGATAAAATCTAACACTCAAAGACGGAAATGAATTCAATATTGTGATAAATTGCTGTGTCTCCTTTCGGTTCATTGTCCTTCGGACTGAAATGTTTGCTCTTTGGAGAGTGAGAGAAGCGTTGGAAAGTGATTGGTATTTGTCCGGGACGCTGTGAGTTATTAATATAAAAACAACAACCAATTGAAATTGTATACCGAAGAGCGTTAGAGATCACAAAGGTGTGTCAAACTTCCTCCACCTTCGCCTCTCTCCCCATTCCTGGGTCTTCCGGCGTGTCATCAGATTTCCCTGCTTCGCCGTCTGTTATTTCCAAATAGAAAATTCCCCCGTGTTTGTCTTTTTTCCTCCTGTCGCCCGTTGAGTTTGCAACACATCGGGGAAAAAAAGGAGTTGCGAAAGGCTCTAAAATTAAATGTTTTACACACACACACACACTCGAATTTCCCACCCTCTTGACGCCCATTCACCTGTGGAATGGGACCTCTTTGCTCTTTTCTCTCATTCATTTGTGTAACTGAAGATAACATCAAACAAACCCACAGAGTGAGACTCGAAAATTGAAATAATTTCACCGCAAAATATCTCCAGCCGAAAGCATTCAGCAACACCAAGAGTTACACACAAAAGCAAAGGACTCCGTGAGTGCATGAAACCCAAGAAGACTCGCAGAGGCTTCTGATTGAGAATCCTTCCTCCTTTGTCACTCCGGATAGAGTGACTGTAAGACGGCGGAGACACTTTAATTAGAATAAATCGCACTGCAACTGGCGAACGTTAATTTTGACCAGCGTTAGAAAATGATCAAATTAACACAGGGACTTTCCCGCGGTCAGAAACACCCTTTTTCGGGGGTGGGAAATTAAAATGGGATTAATTCGTCCAAGTCATCGCTATTAGAGCTCAAGCATATTGCATTTCCGCACTGAACAATGGGGAGGAATTATTGTAGGAAGCGGTGTACAATTCGGCGAAAATTTTCAATTTATTTAATAAAGAGTGAAGAAATGCTTAGTGAGAAAATAACACAGATTTTTATGCTTGATGTGAAAGAAATTCTAATTTTCTGACAGAATCTTAATGAGTCTGAAAGCCTTTTAATGAAGATCGCCAATGTTTAGTGTTAAAATGATGTTAATGTCAAACATAACCTCCAAAACATTGCATGAAAATTAAAAATTGTCTATTTTCAGAGTTTTTTCGATAATTCTTCATTTTGAATACCAATTTTCAGTTCATTTCAAAGTTGTTGCACTTTCATACCTTTTATTCTTTTAAACCATTTTCAATAAAGTTTTACAAAAATAGTTTTTTGCGGTTATGGCAGAAAATATATGCAAAACAGCCAATTGAAGGATTCTTTCAAAACTAATAAACAATGCATTCTTGGTTAAACAAGAAAACCTTCAACAAATTGTAGGATTAAACATAAAGTGAAAAAGAGGTATTTTTTCTATGTAATTGCTGTATAAAGCTCTTAAAATCCGTATTCGTAGCTAAATTTGACACTGCGATAAAAGAGACTGAATCGCTGTTTGAAATTTGAATACTTCATGTCGCATATTTAATCAGAAGCCAAAGCATTTTCAGCGAATTTCCCTCAAACTCTCGTCCGGATGAGTGGTGAAAATAATACCATATATTGCGGAAAAATCGATGAATTATCAAGTGCACATCAAAGTTTATAATTAAAATAATTCCGGAGGGAAATACATTTAATGGGCAAATGGGAGAAGATTAGAGGTGATGGTTGATTATGAAACTGGCGTGCAAATATGCGAAATATGCTTTGGTATTTAAACTTTGACATTGCATAAATAAGTTCACTGTATGCACGCTTTCCACCCTTTTCAGCCCTTCCTTCGCTTCTGCACACTGCGAATTATTGAGTGCGCTGAATAATTCGCGAACGCCTGTTTGCACATCAACTGCGCCACACTGTGTGGCCTAAGCAGCTGCAAATCCTAAACCTGTGCGTCATTGAGACAGTGACGAGTGGTGGAAAATCATGCGGAAAAGTTGGGTGAATAAGTCAAGTTGTTTCCCATGGAATCCTTCTCGATGGTTATTTACTAGTGATATTGATTTAGCTCTCGGCTTCATACACACAAAAAATCCCATTATAACTTCGATGATGGACTTTTCTTTCCCATCCACTATGAATATTCCTTTGCATAAAGGAAAATTGCGGGCGCGCGAGAGGCATTCTTTCACACTGGGTGAAATTAATTTAAAAACTTTCTCACCCAAAAAATTATCGTGCTGAAATTTTAAATTGAACTAATTCAATATTTTCACACTCTGTGTGACAAAAGAGACGCGATTGATTTTAATACAACTCTGTGCTATTTTTATCCACATCCTGGCTGTGGCGGATTTTTCCTGATTGTGGAAATTACAGAGAAGAGCTTCCTTTCCGGAAAGTTCTCTGTGGCTAAAGCTCATCAATAGTAAATTCATTATAATCTTGAACTTTTGACATTATATAAAGACAACGTAAAGGATTTTTTTGAATGCATTTTTTGGTTGTTTATTATCCATTATTGCATATTGAAAAAGAAAAGAAAAAAAAACAGTTGAAATTGCGGATAATTTCGCTCTGGTTCTTGTGTTTTTATGTTGTATTGAATGTAAATTTACAGATTAAATGAAGATTCAGCTCTACAGACATTTGTTTTTCAATAAATCACTATTATTTTTGTTATTTTCCTTGATCAAATTGCACTTTTGCCGCCCAAACGAGTGCAGAGTTTGCAGAAATCAATAATATTCCTTGGATCGATTGGCGTTGGGAGTGATGTGCCGAGTTCTCAGCAATCCCTCGAAGGCCTGTTCGTCCCTCGGTGGAAAAATACATCAAATGGCGAAACCCTCGCCGGATGTCATCCCCGTATGAGTGACAACCCTCCCGGGGCATTGCACTCCGCATCAATCGGGCGAGAGGATGTGGCTGTAATTAAATTTGCAGAGCCGCAGGGCGTGCGGGTGATTCCAGCTGCAAAAGTCCACGTAAGTCATCAAACACCTTCGATTCACCCTTGCGCCACTTCCGGTGCCATCGCATTGTGATTTCCTCCGCATCGCTCCACAGTGTTTATTGGGTGTTCCGGTTTCGGCGGCGGCGAGCGTGTAAATCAGCGTGCTCAGCTTCGGTCGCCGCAAACGCAGAGTTGACCCTGTCGCGCTCGATTGCCCGGGCGCGGGGGTGGGTTTCGCCGCAGTTCGACAAACTGGAGCTGCCACGAGGGCCGCGGGCGCTCTGGGTGGGATTCCGCGTGCCACACATAGTAAATTGATCCGAAACTCCGTCAAAGAGCGCCCGCCGGACCGCTTTCCTCCCCATAAATCTGGGCAAACTCTCTCGCTCTCGCCGAGTGTGTTTTGTGTCTTCCCCAAAAGCACACATCACCCTCGCCATTGACTCCCTGCACAGCTTCCAGGGGCGCGCAAGCGGCCGCATTCATCGCTATGCGCGGCACAATTCGGATGCCGATCTTCGAGGATTCCAGAAGCCGCGCGCTTTTCTGATATGAAGAGAGATTTAGGGCGATTTGAATATTCGGCGAAAAAGGCCAGAAATTACACTGAAAGCCCCACTCACGGACTTCCGAGGGGTGAAGAACTTTATTGGCCGTGACGAGGGCAAATTGTACAGTTTGAATTACCATATATCGATTTTCAGTCGTAATGTGGAATTGTGAGTAATGTAATTATCATGTCAAATACTTACACTGCGTAATTAAAATTAAAATTTCCAAATTTCTGCATGACTGGCAATTGAAAATAATTGTAATTGAATTTACATTGCAGAAATGGTAAAATTAGACATTAAGCGGATTCAAATCAAGCACCGCGGTAAGAAATAAAGAATACTTGTAGTCAAATTAGTGGGAAAATTATCACATTTTTCTCAATATTGACGAAATAGAATGATCGAATTTGACTCCATATTTTCCACACAGCATTATTCTGAATGAGATTCGCTTATTTGTCTTTTTCAACTCAATTTTGGCTTGAAAATGGATTAAATCGAAAGACAATAGCATAATTAGTGCGAGTAATGGTGCGAATTAACCCAGTAAAAATGGTTAAAACACAATTAAAAAAAACCACGAACATAAACGACAAAAGCTTAATTTTATAGAAATTCATAGTTTTATATATAGTTTTAAACATATTTTCCTTGATAAAGGATAATAAAAAGGAGTTAAAAATACAATTAGAAATTCAATACGATTTTTTTTATATTTTGCCCATATTTAAATTTGCTTAACACTTTTTTTTATAAATTATTTATCAGGAGCGTCAGCTAATTCTGCTTCTCTATCTCTGATATCGGCAGAAGAATCGTGTTGCAATGCCAGAGTGTATTTCTGAGTGGGAATCAAGTGTTTGGCTCCCTCCGAATCTCGTTTTCCACACAATCACGCTAGTTTCGGCCCCTCCGCGGCGCCGCGCGCCGAGTGCGCAGGCGCGGCCGCTGGGCCGAAGGGCGCAAAGTCACCCCCACCGTCGCTGGAGGGGCGGCGGAGGGGCAGCCGGCGCTGCGGACAACTGCACTCGGCGAGCGGTGTCAATAGCCGCCACTGCTCGGCGATGTGCGGCGGGGAAGGTGGCCGACTCCCCACTCGGCGCGCCCGCTTCAATGGCTGATGCGGAGGGGAAGGTGAGTCCTCGCGTTGCCAACGACAACGGCGCGACCCCACCAGGACGTCGCCTCGCTGCGGCGCCTCGTTCACAACCGAGTGAGCTTCTGACCGTGGCAGATCGTTCTGCACGTGGCCCCCACTCCACGTGTCCCGGCGTGATCGTTGCCCGCTTTTTTCCGAGTGCCGCACAGCAGTTGCAGCGACAGCGTCGACGAGCGGCTGGCGTGTGAGTCGCAGAGTCGCCATTCGCGCGAAGTGAGACGGAGACTGTGTTCGGCCGCAGAGCGTCGTCTCGCTCTGTGTGGGACGGCGTGGTGTGAGTGAGTGCTGTCGTGACATGAATTCCGAATACATTGGATGAGGTTGCGAGTTGGTGTGCGGACATCATTCTCGGCTCTGTAGTGTCTCCGGAGTGCAGCACTTGGCAGTCTCGTTGACACCGGCTTCGTGTTCGAAACGCTATCGGGCCGCTCGTGCGTTACGTGACAATTTTCTTGGGAAAGAGAGAGAATCTTGCAGAGAAGGAGGAGGCTCCAGAGTGGGACAGTTTGTTCCTTGTGTACCATGGAATAGCCAAGGAATAGGCTCGCGATCAAGAGTGCGATCCAGAGGCATCAGTGGTTTTTTGGGTAACTCTGCGTTGCCGAAGTTGTTCGTCATTCATTCAGTGTGAAACATGGTCGTATCTAGAATTGTAAGCTGTATTTCAACCACCGACAGGTGTTAACTACTAGTGAATATCCAGGATACCGCGGTATCCGTGTTTTGTGTTGTGTGTTTAGATATCAAGAAAATACCCTCCCCTCACAATATTAGCTGTAGCAACCCTTTGGGATAATTGACCGAGAGAGAGAGAGAGAGAGTGTGTTTTGGGTAAAACGCAGTGTTGCTTCTCTGGCCCAAGGCAAGTTTCTCAAACTCAAATGCGAGATACATAATTGCCAGTGGAAAAATCCGTGCTATTTTCACTTTTGAGAGTGCCACAGAGTGAAGTTTTGCCAGTGACCAATTTGAGTGAAGTATATCGCCAAAACCGGCCAATCATCATCAAGACGAGTGTCTGCCAAGCCATCAGCATGGATATCTTGCCCAGTGGCAATATCTTCAGGGAGTTGCAGGACGTGCACGACACTGGATACTTCTCGTCGCAAGGATCCATCGAGGATCAATGGCAACAGGTAAGCGCGCTATCGCCGGTGACCTGCAAATCGCCTTGGTGCGATACAAGATATGCGCCCAGTATCTTCGTGTAATTTGAACACTGATAACAATTCCCGATTGTGGTGAAACCCTCCAAATATAGAGTTCATTTCGAAATGTGTTTGGCCAGAGCAAACGTGGAATTTTTCTACCTCTCTTCGCTTTTTTTCTTCTCTCCTTCTTTTGCCACTCAAAATATACATCGCCGCGAAGAGCAACGCTGTGAACTTTCCTTTCCCACAAGACGACATCTCGTCTGTGTCTTTTCGGGCATATGAATTACAATATACTGACTCACCTGGCGCGCGGAAAGTTAGCCACGTGAGAAAGGCCGCGGCCACGATATGGCAATTTAATCAATGAATTTACAACGACCATTCATGGGGCCGAAACAAAGAGAGTCACCAGTGACCCAGAGAGGAAGTGGCTCTTTTTGCAATTTCGCCAACTCCGGAAGGGACAGTTACATCGTTAAGGCGAAGAATGACGAGAGGCGAAATTGCTTTCTCAATCTGATAACCACCAGCCGAACAATCCGGGGAATGTGTTGACCTGGCCTAATTGCTTTTCTGACCTTTTCCTCAAAATCTGTCACACAGAGACTTGAGCGTTGGGTGAATTTCGCTAGAATTGAAGATGGTGAGGAATTGTTATAATTTCTTTGCAAATGCGATACAAAGCTGTGGTCGATTTCGAGTGAAGTCACTTTTGTTTGACAAACATTTCGCCATATGAATCGGGGTAAATGTTATTCTCGGGATCGCCGAGGCACCAGTTATTGTGAAATATTGAAATTGCGATAAGAACAGCGATTATTCTTGTAGGGATTAACCACCCAATGAGGATTGTAATTGATGTGATTTTAAGTGGTTTTGAAAATCAGAAGAATAAACTAATAGTTTTTATCTTCTCTAAAGTATTTAATTATCGGGCATTTTTTAGAGGTTTTTTTTTATCAAAATCAGATTAGTGAAAGAATTAGGAAGAAGGCAAAAAGCGTAAATTGAAAATTGTCGAAAAGCATGAAATAAGAGAAGACGCTTATCGAAGTAGAAGAAAATAATATATTCATCATTAGAACGCATGAAAACACTTGTTTATTCATTAAGATTTTATCATTCCCATTCATTGTCTTGTAGTTTTTAAGAATTATTCTTTTAAATGATAGTTTTCACGATGATATTTTTGATAAATTTTGTAAAAAATTTCCTTAAAATCCCTGAGCTTCACAAACTGAGATTGATTGTTGAGTGTTCAGTGAAATTTGATATTAGAACAACAAGACGAAGAGTAACAATTCCTTTAGCGAAACTGTCTTGAAGCCACAATTTGCCAGTTATTGTGCTATCTTGCAGCGAGATTGCTGCCGATCTGCAGCTTGGCTGAGGTTCTAGTGCAAAGTTAAGGAGAATACGGGTGTTCTTGCCTCAAATTGACTGTCTGTGTTGGAAATTTCTCGTGTTTGAATAATGCATGGCGCTCAGAATGTGTTCGGGTGGCGAGGGAAAAATGCTCAAACGCTGAGATATTCATTGAAGCACATTTCGATACACTCTGATGGATTTCCCATTAAGTATCTTCTCTCGCACTCGGAATCCTTGCCGAGAGAGAGAGAGAGAGAGAGAGGCGTCGATGGGGAGGCAAAAGAAGCAAGAAATCAATGGCTTTTCACACAGAGAAAGAGCAGAAATGCATCGCGGGAATCGGGCTTCGACAAGTCATCTCTGGAGTGTCTGAGAATTGAGGTGAAGTGGCATTTTGCATATGATTTACAGTCACTTCGTGATTCATGCAATTTGTTTGCTAATTAATTAATACATGAATCGACACTGTGTGAATCACACTTGCAGGTGCATATCTGGCGAACATCTTGGCCGGAGAGTGAGTGAGAGAGAGAGGCTCGAGATGGGGTCGAAGAGTGACTCGTTAATTGCATCTTCGGGATGGGAATCCATCGCTCATGGGGTTATCGGAGGTTAATTCATGTGAACATTATGAGATATATATTGTGTGGCCTCTCTTGAAGCATTTTCATTCATGCGTTGCCAAATAAATCATAAATTTTTCACATACATATGAAAGAGAGGCCCCATAAAAGAGAGGAGAGCTCCAATGACTCCTAAATATAAACTCTTCTGTCTGTCGAATGTGATTCAGACGCCGATCATACGTCGATTTGATGATTTCCGTTGTTTGCCCTCCGGCTGGCACGCACTCTCGCATCCAGAGATGTGTAATTCTCCTCAATTTCGCTCCCATAACAATAAAGAAGTCCCTCACGAGGCCGCCACGGCGATGGGAAGTTTAGGAAATGCCCGCAGAAAGTCCCGAAGCCGCTCAGCAAATGGGGAAATTTTCCGGGACGGCCTTCGCCATTTGAATGTTTATTAGTCGAGCGATGTGTTTTTCCCAACAGCGCGCGAAGAGAAGAATTGAACATTCTGTGCTAACAGTGTGACATTTGCAATTGATTGACTGAAGAGGACGTCGTGAAATACGATACAAGACTGCAGATCAGTCGCTAATTTCGGATGTTTATTATGTTTATGAGTTACGAGTAATAAAATAAAGCGCCTCGGTTCCTTTGAATTGCACCAAATGAGATATTTTAAGGCATTTGATAGCGCGAAAATCAACCATCTTTGCGATGTGGTAAATGAGGGTAAAAGAGTGAAGAGGCGAGACAATAGTGGGACGGAATAATTCAACAAAATAGCGCCAAAAAGCATCTTCTTTTGCCTCCAGCGATGCATTTCAAAACTGTACCTGTTAATTTTCACGTTGAATTTGGGCTGTAAATTGATAAATTGTGCGTTCTCTGCCCGAAAATGGTTGCCGTCAAAGTGTGAAACTTTCTTTTTGGTGCCTCTCCTCAATTATGACCATATATTTTCTCACTTGAAGCGATCCCAATCGCTGGTACAATTTGTCTCTGCGGCACCTCAAGAGGGAAAAAGCGCGACACCTTTCAATATGCACATTGTTCTGCGCCCGAAAGTGTCTCCCCAGAGCCAGTCAGATTGAAGAAGAAGAGGCAAAGAAGAGACGCACTTCTTCGCTTCCATTTCGGTGTCAATAACTTTTCACTGGTGCGTCTTTTTTCCCATTGATGGCATCGCGCGACCATTTTTCCCGCATTGACGATTAGCCAGCAATTCTCTGCCTTATTTGTGCCCCTGTTTGATTTACAATTCCAAGACGGAGAAAATGGAACTTTTCGAGTGTGTGCAGAAATGACAGCACTTCTCGAATCACGTAACAATCGCAAGGCACGAAGAATGCAGCAGAAGAAGTGGTTATTCCTGTCCATGCCGGCATGGATTTCCTGCTCGATTGAATATTCAAGAATTTTTATTGCTATATGGATGGATATATGGCGCGTTTTTCATAATTATGTTGCTCAATCATTAGGAATGCTTAATGAAAAATTATAATTAGCAGAATCGCGAGAAGTGAACTCGGGAGGATGAGAAAAAGGTGCTTTTTGATGGAGAAATCAATAAAATGTCAAGATGAGTGAGGAGTTGGCGGATATTGGTAGTCAAGAAATTCTATTCGAAGTTCTCAGCTTTTATGAATGCACTTAGTGGGGACACAGTTTGAAAATAGATCAACGAATGTTTGAATAAGGAAGACAAAAATTTCTAGAGATCTTATGAATGCAGAAAAACATGTAAGAAAAGTCTTTCTTGTTAGTACAAAAAACTTTATTTTAAACGTTTTGAGTCTATAGATTTGTTGTCTCAATTTAGCAAGGACACAATTTGGGAACAGATGGAAAAAAGTCTTTCTTATTTGTGTAATTAGTCAATAGATTTGCTCTTGGCATGTTGAATTGGAATTTAGGGTGAATTTCGAGCAATTCTGCTGGCGCTGTGAATGCAGTGAAGGCGAATTTTCACAAATGATGGCTTGAATGGATGTAAAGTGATGTGGGGAGAAAATGACTTGTGTGATTGGGTGTTTGGAAGGGAATAAAAGAGGCCCATTGAAATCAGTTTTTGGGCACAAAATCCACTGATTCACTCAATGACATATCCAAACACTCGCTTCGGCCAACACACTTTATATCAATTAATCGAAAACAGAATTTCTCCGGGCATTAATTATCGGATCTGATTGATTCTCTCCTCCGAAAAAAAAAGTGGAAAATCAAGCCATAGAATTCAATGGCATCTCTCTCTCTGCGTGTCTCCCCATCATTGTTGGCTCTGCGCTCTTTTTTACTACACCAATTACAGCTCCAGTGTAGTTGACTTCCGGCGTCAAGAATCAAATTGCTCTGCGTCTTCCACTTGTCATGTCTTTGTTATTATTTCGCTGGCCTGTGTTTACGATTTTTTGCTGCTCTTTTCGCTCCTCACCTCAGCACAAAAGCCACATGAGTTCCACACTGACGATTTTCAAACCACCCTTCTTCGGGCCTTTTGTTGCGGCACTACAACCCGGACTGCTCGCGCTCTTTCCCTCTCACTCTTTTTTTTCGGGAATTGAAGCACTCACATGGCGCAAGAGGCCCCTATCAAATTTTCATGGCATCGCCTCGGAGTGGAGGGCGAGAGGAGAGGCGCGTTTACCTTTTCAGATGATACAATACGAAGCGTGGTTAATATTGCATGGCGCGGAGAAATTCGGGGAAGCGTTGCTTTGCATTCGAGGCAAAACACAAGGGTTTCCATGGGAGATCCTCGTGGTGCAGGGCGAGAAAAAAACAGGTGCAGGGGCTCATTTGTCAGGCATTACTCATGAGGTTCTTATCCGGGAGAGGGTGTGTGGGCGAGAAAGGGGTTGCAATTTCCACCATGAGAGATATTGGCGCCAAAAGGAACATGTGCATTGCGGTGAAAAATGAGATAGCGCCAAATGTTTCGCGCAAGAAGAATTGCTGGGAATACAATGAGTTTAACAGGGAGGAAATGATGCAGGGGTTTTTGCATAGGGGAAATCGGAAAGAACAAGGAAAATTGATGACAGTGCG